GATTGTAATGACAACAAATATTACATCATTTTAATGTTGTCAGCGCTCAAATATGAAATTGTAAATGCTGTTATATTTCGATTTGTGTTGGTTTAGGAAACTGTTTTCTTGATTTCGTTTTGATTCTGGTGTTTCTTCTGTGCCTTTTTGGCTTTCTTTTCCATTTTTTTTTCTGTTCTTATTTCAAATGCAGACAATTTTCCAACACACTTATTACATACATTTATAGTAAAATAACTTCTTATTCTGAAAATAAAAAGTTACACTTTCAGGTTTCGTTATACATGTATGTCTGTAACTTTAACTTTAAAGTCGTTTGGTCTTAAAAAGTTGCTTGCTAATACAAAGAAATTTCCCAAAATGTACTTTTCACAAATTTTAGCTCGCACTAATTACATATCTTGTTCTTCWTATCTCTCCCGTTCTTTTCGGCGCTCGCCACCTTTGACATATAGCTTTCAACTTCGCATCATCACTCAGCAGTTGCAATTAGTAGAGCAGGTCATAAGCGCCACTAWTGGTGGTGCCATACTTCCAGGCGCTAYTCAGYRATTTGCAGGTGARCTGATCCAASGTGAAGAGGTCGAAGTGGAAAATGGCTACACAGAAATAACGCATGAAGAGAATAAGTAGAAGAAGTTGTCGGTCCAACTATAAGCAAGCAGTCGTTCGAATAGCCAGTGAACTGCCATTGCGTTCGGGACAAAGTACTATAATCAGTCGTTAGGTTTTTTGTTAGCTCCTGCGCCGCTCCGTTTGTATTTTCATTTAAGCAACTGGCTGACCAGTGATTACTTTCTTTATCTTAGGTAAAATATTTTTGCTTTTGTGTCTGCCAGACAGTTTAGCCGTCAACATAGGAAAAAAAAGGTGAAAGCAAGCAAACCGAATGTCATCGCCATTTTGTGCCTTGTTGTTCTTTACTTCTAGTAAATTTACTTTGTTGTTACAAATATTTGTTTGTCGTTTATTTAATTGTTGTTAGTCGATTCATTCATCTGTTCRTTTGTTTTCTTTCCTTTGCCCATTGTTTAATACTCACTTGTTTGTTGTTATTGTTGTATTGTATGTCACAGCAGTGAATTATAGCGCCATCATTTTGTAACATTTAGCGCTCTTGTTTTTGTTTCTGATTATTCTGATGTTTCAGGTTATCTGTTATTGCTATTATTCTTCATATAGATTGTTTCTTCAGGTGTTTGCCCTCTTTCAATCTCAATTTTGTTTCATGCAATTTTTGTAGTTTTTGTCGTTTTTCTTAAKCACGTGGTTGTATCTTTCGTAATTTGTATACATTTTTCTTTTTTTTAAGTTGTTTCATCAGTTTTAGAGAAGAGCGATACACAAAGAGAAAAATTGAAGTAGCATCAAATTTTTCATACAAAGAAAGCATATCATAATTTAATTTAAAGGGGTTAGGGATGGTCATAGGTACGAAAAAATTAAAATTTTCAGTATTTTTTTTTTTTTTTTTTGCTATTAAAGGGGGATGCCTTCAAGTCTTCCTTGTAGCAAGTTTTCAATCCCAATAATTCTGTTTTAAGAATCTGAGTCCACTGAGAGAGACTTGAGTCCAGCAAAGGTCCAAAAGTCCAAATGGACATGACAACCTATTTTGGAACGTTGACAYGGGACCCATTCTCGAGCCCATTGTATAACATCTTTGTTCATTGATGGCCAAACGTACCTCTGAACGATGAGTTTCACTGTCACTCTGCCGCTGGGGTGTGCAAGGTTGTGTAGAGTTTGGAAAATTTTCTGACGTAGCGGTGCTGGCACGAATGGTCTGATGTTATTTGTTGAAACGTCACAATAAGTCGTCTGCCCGTTGGGATCAAAGTGAAGCGTTTGGAACCTTAATGATGTTTCGTTATGTGCAAGAAGTTTCTGTAACTCTTTGTCCGAGGCCTGCGCTCGGGACAGCTCATCGTAGTCAATAGCTGCTGGTAAATGCATGGTTTCAACGCGTGAAAATGTGTCAGCGACGTTGCTGTCTGAACCGGAGACGTGTTCAATATTAGTCGTGAATTGGCTGATGAATCCTAGCTGCATGATCTGGCGAGGTGAAGATTTATCCAATTGTTGATGGAACGCGAAAGTCAATGGCTTGTGGTCTGTCCTGACAKCAAACTCACGACCTTCAACCCAGTGTCTAAAGTACTTGATGGCTTCGTATACAGCTGTCAATTCTCTATCATAACTTCTTCGAGAAAAATCCAATTGGTTTCCAAACGTTTTTATGTTGCTGCTCTAGTACCGCTCCCAGCGCAGTACAAGATGCGTCACACGTAATCCGAAGTTCGGCGGCTGGTGATGGAAGAGTTAGGAGCCTTGCTGCTGCTAGTTCCTTATTCCTTGATGTAGATGAAAGCTTGTTCTGATTCTGCTGTCCAGTGTCAGTACGTCTCCATCAAAAACGCAAAAAAAAAAACAGAAAGTAAAAAGAAAAGGAGCAGGGTGCAGATAGATCACAAATTCCAGCGTCTCAAATAGGTATCTTCCAGCATCGTACAATTTACATTTTTTTGGTCATATTTTTTGACACAGCCGATTGCTTTTAGCATATCAACATTTACAGTTTTCACTATATACTTATGGAAGTCGTTGCATGACATGTTCTTATAATTATATTATATTTAGTGACAACCATGTTGCGAACATTTTCAACAAGGAGACAATTGCGTTCATCACTCCACTGGATATTGATGAGAGAAAAAATCTTTCACAATTAGCTTTATGTCCGGGAATAGAAAAAAAGTACTGCGCAATTTTTAAAATTTCAGAAAAGRAATCAATGTTTGAATTCGYTTAAAAAAATGCAAAAATCTGGTCATTTGAAGTTTGTGAAAAAAAAATCAGTACACTTCATTGAAAAATTAGTATATCAGTACGGRKGTCTAAAAATCAATACRCGTACTGATAAAATCAGTACATCTGGTAATTCTATGTAAATGCTCTTTTCTATGCGATCAAATGCGCCGCAGCATATACATATATAGCAACTGTATTACCTCAACACATAAGTATTACCAGCACTCTATGGGATTCATTTGTCGGTCCTCAGCAGATAGAGAAAAATTGTAAAGTGATTGCTCATTTTCCTTACAYAATTGCAGTYGATTTTCAYACCAGTCGCRRTTGCCAGGCAACTGCAGCAATAATGATGTATTATTCCACACTCTCTACTGAATGTAACCAGCAGATATGTATATGTATGTATATTGCRTGCAGCGCGAGCTCAACGAATGCATAATTGCTTCACAATACAACTGCAACAGAATGGCAAYAGCGAGTTGTTGCCATTTACACGGCTTTGCGAGCTTTGGTAACACTTTTGGTCCTTTCTGTATTTCAACAAATTGCGGCATTCGATGAGCCTGTCKGTAGATTCCCCACTCGTGGGAAATCAGCAAATCTGCTACGGGTAGTATCGTAATATTGACTCGACATGTAAACCGTAAATAGAAAGGACTATAGRTATGTAGAAGTGAGCTCGATGCTTTTGGTAAGTTGTTGTGTTTGTTGAATAATCTATTATTACCATATATTCAATTCGTAGGTTTCCATAACTGATTAGTGTTTTAGAAGATTTTAGAAATAAAATTGCAAAAACTGAAAACACRAGCGGGTGTTTGCAAAAAAGAAAAGAATAACGAATATCTTAATAAACATTAAAGTCCAAAATAGTTGGGCAGTATCAAAAAATAGCATTACTCGAGGTCATTTTGCATGCGATAAATGTGATGAGTCCTAAAGTGAGCAGGACATAAAAGTCACAGAAAATAATTTATATAATGAGAAAGTGGTTGATTTTKGTTGATGACGAGGGAATATTGCTTTATGAACAAATTATTTATACAYACACATACATAATGGCGTATGTAGAACCAAGGGGTGATTATAAAAAGAAAGTGGGCCAATGCGGCTGCTTTCACAAGTAATCGCCTACAATGCGGGTGATCACAACATATCTTAGAAACTTTATAGTAGCTTTACATACACAGTCATTGATAAATATGTGCATAGACATATTGGTGATGAAAAAATATGGCTTGACTCTTATGTAGTACTTTATGCTGTGATCGTACGCCTACACACACATTCTCAACTTTATAGCTCTACAAAAATACATAAGTTGCCTCGGCTTTTACAGTGTTACAGCACAATAACCTGTATCTTTACTCAGTTTAGCTTTTAATGATTTACCACTATTTACATACTTCGGAAGTTGCTTGCCATGACAACAAAAGACAAAAAAAAAAAAAAGAAAAAAAAAACAAAAACAAAAGAATAATAATAATAGTCTTGCAGAATTTAAACTCTTCACTTTGCTAATTCAATTTGCTATTTTAATATTTTCTTAAAAAATCATCATTTGTGGCCTTTTCAGAAATTTGCGAATTTTAGAGGACATCACATGCGACCTCGGCATCAATTTGGAAAATTTCGAACAGGACGAGCAGATGTGATCACAAATCGACACTAATAATCTGCGGACCCCTTTATTTGCTCCATCACTTTTAGCAGTCACGGAGGACGGCAGCAGCAATGAGTGGCACGAACAGGAAGCAACAAACCATATAAACGCCATCACTAGTACAACAAAAACGCTACCAACAGTTATGAAAGCCGCTGCTGTTACAACACACGAAGCCGCCTCACCACCTTCACCGCACGCCACGTGGCAGAAGCGGGGCTCCAACTCACCACCCAGCAACAGTGGCCACCAGTAGCCACGTCACGTACGAAAGGCGCATCGGCGATTGGTCCGAGAGTTCAGAGAATTGTGGTAATGCGGGCGGCGAAGATRTGTGGGTAAGTGTCGCACAAATTTGACTTCAATACATTTAATTAAGCGTTGCTCTTTATACTATACATAGTGGGTAATCAGGTGTTCAAAATTTGAAAGATAGTCAACTGTTTTAAAAATTAAAATAACAAATCAATTAGATAAAAAAAACTTTACAGACTAACGGATAAAAATATATAACTTTTTCACATTTAGTGAGGAAGGTTGCCACCCGTTTAAAAAATACGAATATAATAAAAATTATATATAAACAGAATTTTTGTAATATTCAAGAGTATAAGAAAGTTTAAAAGTTGAAAATATTGTCAGAAGAGTTGCCACCCGTGAAAAAACTATAAAAATGAAAATTGCGAGTAAAAATTAATGTGATAAGAAGTTCAAAATAACAATAAAGTTTTGAGAGTTATTATCAGTATTAACTTTWTTGAAATAAGGTTGCCACTGTTAAGAAATTCAATTCAACAAAATTAATAACACAAATGGATGTTGACGAAATGAACATAAGAATTTCTAAAAAATTTAAGTTTAAAAATAAAAATTTTAAACTAAAAGTCAAAAATCCTAACAAAAAATTAAAAAAAATTAACTAAATTTTATGGGGATGGCAACCATCTATTAAATTAAATTAAATTTTTAATTGATTAAAATATCAAATGTTCAAAATTTTCATATCGAGATTATTAAAATTCAGTAGACTTGGAAATAAAATCCCGAAAACGCGGCGCTTATTCTCAAATTGACACTCTGTGGTTTGAGTCAATTTAWTCRCGTTCAACTGAGTTGCTRCCAARGTATCGCTCATGCACATTTAAACATTATTGTTTTATTCTCACAGGCAAACAACAATTTCCGCAATAAAAACCGCATTTTATAGTGTGTTTTGTATGGCACACATCGACCAACAGGCAACGCTTGTCGTCAACAAAAACTTTCCGCAGTTATGAAAGTGTGCAAGAGTCCGTCATGCTGTGCAAAAGGTGAGCAAAGTATTTTGTTGTGTATAGTAGCAATTACATAATGATTTTAGATGTGGGCTTCTTAATTTTTGTATGTGTATAAATATTTCTCATATTTAAGCTATAGTATAGTATATTTCCCTTACTTTATTATTAAGTTAATCAAGTCCAAATTAAATTCCATACCGGAACTAAGATCTGTAATTCACTTAAGTTTATTAGAAGACAAATACTATTCTCAGATTTTATTTATCAGCAAGTAAAGTAAAAGATCTTGTTTGACGCCAGCTAACAAAAGTAATTTTGAAGGTTCTTTCAATATATCATATATGACAGTTGCAGCCGGTTGTTGGCTGTAGAGAGATTATACAGTTAAATATTTATAATATTTCAATATTATAAGATAATAATGTAATAAATATTTAATTTCAAATTGACCATTAATTTTTATACAGAAATATTTTTTCTCCATTCCTTTAACCATATAGCGAGCAAAGGGTTGCAGCAACAGGCGAAAAGAGAGCAGCGCGTGTCTTGCCAAGATCATATTGAGTTAAATGAAGAAATATAAAATAATGGCAACACAACGTGAAACTTTAGAAACACTACAGGAATGAAGTAAAAAATCTTGTGCTCAACTTAAGAATAAATAATAAATAATCAACAAGAAGAAGAATAATAAAATTAACATACAATTAGATACTAACTAATATACTGATCATTTTAAGCGTTTAATTCTTTGCTRATAATAAGAAAATGTACATATGTTAATGTTGACTWTGAAAATAATAYATTTTTATAAAAAATGTTATATTATGTAGTAATTTGTCACAAATGGTCTTTCACTTATTTTATCGGTAAGTATGATATTTTAACAAACCTTTACTTTCGACAGTATTTATTGAGTTGAGTTCGCTAAGGTAATACTTTGGAAGGTTACGAAGGTGCAAAAACTCAAAATTATGTTTTGCATACTTGCTACGCCAGGAAAGAAGATACTTGTCGATAATGCATTTCTAATAGCACAGACCTTCATTTGCCTCGATGGAGGAGAATAATTAAAAATGAAAAGTGAAACTAATTCGAAATCAAGACTGTTATAACATTCCAATCACCGGTGAATGCAGCTGGCAAAGAGTTTTGCGACTTCAAGTAAGTTCTTACTGTTAGGAGCTTTASCAGCTGGTAAGGGCTTGTTTTTTAGTTAAAGGTTTTATTGTATTATATATTATTCAATTCTTAATGATATGTGGATATATTCAATTTCACAAACACACTAGCGGCAAAAATTTATTTTTTCATTTAKCAGTTGTTGATTGTGGCGGGGTTGGTGCCCTTACCTCAGTAGTTAAAATTGGATTATTTATGATAATCTCAATACCACACTGCGAATGAGTAACGCTTGCAGGCAAATCCTTAAATATTTATTATTATGCAGCAATCGTTATTTGTTATAGTCTTTACATAGTATCGCACAACATTGCAGCAATAACGTACAACAATAACGATAAGTACACAGTACGTAAGAGACATAGCTGAGGGTTTAAAAAGTAATAAAAATTGATTTCAAAGGTGAAAGTAAAAATAATATTGTGAATATACGTATTATAGWAAAGTTAAAGGGAACTTTAAGAACAACTTCAACGGCGGCTTTTGRACTGGTACTAAACCTGCCATCTATAGGCCTCTTCGCTGAAAACTGCGCAGCAAAATAGACGAGATTACTACCGGTGCAGGAGAATTTACAAATAGTACCTTTGGGCATAGCTCGGTGGGTAATAGCGGTTGGCAAATACCGGTTACATCACTCCACTTTTCAACAGGGAAAGAAGGCTCAAAGTTAACATTGAAAAAAATGGCTGTCGTAAAGGTATTTTAGCTACACTCTAAACATCTATATTGATGGCTTGAAATTCTACAATGAARTTGTACGCGAATATACTCTGGACAGTATGAGTTAGGTCCCCCTACGGGTAGGGGGGACCCCTCCGGGTTCGAGGGGAAACCGAATATACCCGCGGCAAGGCATACCTGTCGTAAGAGGCGACTAAAAGCCATATGGCAGAGGTTTTAGATGGGCCTCGAACCCGAYCAAGGTGACTAGGGTGTCCCTATCCACCCAAACCAATTGGAACCAAAAAAAAAAAAAAATTAAGTGCAAAATGCATTTATGCTTTGGAGCGCTGATCAACGTATTATATTGATCTATGTGCTTCTAGTAATAGAAAGCACCGTAGAGTTTAGTCTTCATAGACAGGTATTCACATAAAAACACATTGACATTCTGTCTAGAGTTAGGCACAAATGAACCTTTTAAGTTGCCGGACCACAGTAGTATATTTCAATGTGAGCTCTTTGCTATTTCCAAAGCCGCGGACCTGGCCTCTAATGCACCTGCAGGTAATTCCAGAGTCATCATTTACGTAGACAGTCGAGCACTAATGAAGGCAGTAACCTCGTATCGCCYATCGGTCAGAAATGTATTGGAAAGCAGGGCAGCAGTGGAAACTGGGTCACAAAGCCACCAAGGGCAATGAAATAGTGGATGAGGTGGTACGGAAAACCTATGCATTGTCTATACGAAGATCTCGACAGAAATATGATAGCTAAGATCGAAACCTGATGGAGCGAGCTACCTGGGTGCAAAACTTGCAAAAGTTATGTGCAAAACGGTAGATCGGTACTGGGAAAAATTTTTATTGGCMCTTAATAGAAGAGACTGCAGTAACATAATGGGAATGCTAACCGGTCTATGTCTGGTGACGACGCACGCCCGCAGGATGCTGCTGACATATACGAAATTCTATTAATCATATTAATAAGACTTATTAAAATCAATTATCTTGGAAATAAAAAGCTACACTGCTCTATCTACAATTAATGTTCATATAACTGCATTAACTTTTCTATAGATTCTTTTATTCAGTTTTACAAGGAGATTTAAACCTTCTCGTACCATTGAAAAGTATTTACCCTTAAATTAGGGACTACATAGGAAGAAGATGAGATAGAAACATCTCAGCACTTTGCTCTCGAATGCCCCGCATTTGGCAGTGCAAAACCCTTCGTGTTTTGTACACTTAGGTATCCACGTGATCAGCAGAAATAGACATAAGGCTTAGTGGATTTGTAATAGACTCAGGACGCCTTGCGTATGGCTTACATCTAGCCTTAGCAGTTTTCATTTGGCTTTACAAAAGAATGAATGAAGAGTTTAAGTATGATTCCTCCGTCAAGATGAGAGAACCTAGTGACTACATACTTTTATTTCTCCTATTTTTTAATTTACAAAACATTACATTTATCGGTAAGCTAATAATTGCCACTTTTGTTGTATAATTGTTGCAGAGGACCATGTCACACACTCTAACACGCTTGTTGATATGCATGGAAGTAGAGAAATATAATTGTTGCCAAGTGGTTTCTTGTCAATAGTCACTAAGTATTCGCCACTTTGCATGGGATGAGCATAGTCTCACCACTGCAGCTACTGAACGCTGCCGCAAATTCAATATGCTAACTTTAATTTCCATTTTCGACCAGTGGGCTCTTATGTACGCTACATACATATATATATGTACCGACACTTCATTTATACAACTCTACACATATTTACATATTGACAAGAGGTTTAACCAAAAAAATGTATGTATGTAAGTGTACTTCTTGAGTAGATGCAGTAATTGAAAGCAAACAAATTTCGCAATAACTTTCAGCAAATCGTAAACACACAGTATATATAATTTAAACTCAACAGTSTTGCTCTTCTTTTCTATGAATTCATATAAATTTTGTGTTAATGCAGCTTTTGTTGCTGTGCTTCAAAATGGGATACAAAGTATTCCTTAAATAAATTCTAAAATTGCATTGGAAGTGAAATTATGGTGGTTTAAATGTCAGTATGTTTGTGTTACCGGTACGAAAATGAGTTTCGAACAAAGAACCAACATTAAATTTTGTTTAAAAATTGGTAAAGCTTTTAAAACACTCGTTCGACATAGTAGAATAGTATATTTCTAGCATACAAGCTTTACTTCGCTTCTCGATGCATTAAGCTTCGCCAAAAAGAGTCAAGGAGAGTGATATTGTTGTTAGTTGAACCATAAATCGTACCCAGTTTTTTTTTTACGACGAAAATATTTTGGGGTCAATTACTTTCAGGTCAGTGACTTTAAGATTTTTGTTCCTAAAAAGTCCACTTACAATTTCGCACTGACCAGCACATCAACAAAAATGACAAAACGTTTCTCATGGCAACATTTTAATGTGTCGCCATGCGCTTTGCCACTTAATAATGCAGATTTGTATGTATATGAAAGAAAGCTCAACCGAACTCAACATGAACTCTGGCATTTGAACAATGTGCAAAGCAAATTGTATTAAATCACCAGAAAAGCAAAGTACTAACAAATGTGTCTCCAAGTTGGCCACACTCCATTTTGCCTATTGGTCAGCTAGTGAGTTTGGGCCAAACTCCAGACTGCACACTTTATTATAGTTTTTTTTAATATACCTCGAGTTTATGGCGTTATAAATGAAATTGGCTCTCAACCATTTTCTAGTCAATATTTCGTCATATATCTGAATCAATCTATATTCAAACTTCAGGCTAGTCATAGTTCACTTCGTCTCATATACTAACCGTCATTAAAAAATAATGRAAAAATAAAAATAAAATTTTCGGTAAGTATACATATTTACTTTTGTTTTTAAACAATGAATAAAAGTATTGAGTTATTATAGTTCGCTTTGGCTAATATATGGCTTACAAAGTACTTCTTATAGCAAAAAGGTGTACATTTTCATCAATACGTATGATAAGAATTCTTGATATAAATAATAARACAGAAGTCCATTTTAGTTAATCCYTTTTTTTCTATTTTCTCTATTATTTGGAAATGAATTTGAGGTAATGCATTTCAATTCAATRATCCTCTCCCTATAATTCTCATACCATCAAACACTAGAAACTACAAACTATATAAAGTATACGTAAACCAATAAAGCTCATTTGTGCGCTCCAAGCGCACTCAATTTATGTCCAAAGTTGGACATTTAAATAAATATTCTGAGCGAGCTAATGCAAAGCATTGCAGTTTTCCGAACACTCTCACGCATCTTTTATCTACTTACGCCCTTTAAAGTTGAACAGACTGACTGATGGATAGACAGACAATCCGTTGAACTAAATACTGGAATAAATCTAGGTGTCTAATTCCACAAAAGCGGCATCAAATCCGTCGAAATCAGTGAACCGTTGCGCAAGTTGAAGGGAGCCGTGCGGGTTAGCCAGATGCACCGCGGTGTAGAAATCCAATAAAATCCGTATTAGCCGCTACATATCGGATGCTTATTGAAGCTTACTGCTGCATTGCGTGTCCGTTGCTTAAATCCATTAAGGTGTCAAACGGAACAGCTTTTGCGGTGCAAAGTTACTGTTTCCACAATCTCCCCATCTTCACCCCACATAATCCACTTAAAGTCAATCAGTKGTTATATTATRTATTTAATTGGWGYGYCGCTGAGCTTTTCAGGGTGAGGTTTCTTTGCCATAGAAAAGAAGAAAACAAAAAGCTTTTGAGGCATTTATGCAGATGGGTTGCAAAGTGAAGCAGCAGCGATTTGCTTGAATGTTCTCGGACTTTTTTGTCTCAGATTTTCTCAGTTTACGGGACTTAAAACTATAAACGCATTTATTTTTATAT